AAAATACGCCCTTACAGAGCTGGTGCAGAGCGCGTCTGGTAGCCAGCCTATCAGCGGCAGTACCCGACGGTGATTACTGCCCTCGCAGTCCGTCACTGGCCAAGGGACACGTGCCCAAGGCCGTCCCAAGCACCGGGTTTGGCCGCCCATCTTCTCCCTTTTAAAGACATGCATACACGCAGAGCGTCATTGCATGAATCCTCGTAGTGTCACCAGCCCGCAGGGTCCCTTGTGAGGAATGCGAGTCAACCCCGAAGGATTGTTTTGCCTGGCGGAGGGATTGACCTCCAGCAGCTGTTGAGAGCTACCACACCACCTAGGCGCTTCGCGCAAGGTTCAGGAGTGGGATTGACCAAAGGACCAGTGCCTGGTGGGTATGTCCGCTGTACAATAAAAAGATGTAACGTAAAACGCGCGCGAGCAATCATGGACGGAATAGCTAACGGCGCGTCTGCCAACTGAATGACTCCCTGACGCCACTCGCGTAACCCCTTGAGGGTGAGAGCACAAATGCGAGGACCGACATCCAGCAAGTGGGACGAGCGCACAAAGACGGCGCTCTAGAAGGGCTGAACGAGTGAAAGATACTCGCCTTAGTAAAGGGAGTAGTTCGATGTTTCTTGATTTGCCGCTAGTGGTTCAGGCGGGGCCCATAACCTGTCGCAGACAATACCGCGCTGATAGGCTGGCTACCAGACGCGCTCTGCACCAGCTCTGTAAGGGCGTATTTTTGCGCTTTTTACAGAGTTTACTCCTGAACCACTCGGTGTATCGTGTCGCGGATGACAGTGTTGCGCTCAGTAGGACTTAAGGGTCTACTGCCCAGTCGACGACTGTGGATAGTGTCGACGATAGCAAGGCAGTCAGACCACTACTGTGGAATTGGTCTTATGAGTCTACACCAGGCTCAGGGCTATTAGTGACGAACGCTTGGACCGCGACCATTCCCCAAAAAGGGATCTGTCGTTGCGTCGACTTCTCAAAGAGGGTCATTCTCTGCAGATAGGAACGTGGGCTGAAGGGCTGAGCAATGGGCGACGTTCTCAATAATACAACGACTACTGGACAGGACTTGGCGTTACGAGACTTAAACCATCTTGTCGCGGCAACTCCCGGTTTTGAGTTGGACGTTCCCTCAGATCATGCCACGACGACGACTTGTCACATGTCCGGATCCATTCGATCACGGGACATTGTGGACGCGTCGCGGTGTCACTTCCAAGTGTCACGGCGAGTCGCGTCCATACCCAAACACACTAGAAATCGACACGGCTAGATCCGTGAACCGAGCCATGTGGGGGATGACTGGCGTGCCTAGGGCCATACGGCTTCTTGGGGCGCCCACGTTGGTCTCACATGCCAAGACATACCCGTTGGCCAATCCAGCACGTCGTATTCCAAAAGTATGACGCAGTGAGTTGGCCCACATCAAAAGTATCATATGGACAATGGGGCGGGGTCCTGATCACTCAGGACCTGTCCGATCGTTCAACTTTCAATTACCCTAAAAGGCAACCGATCTTAGATAGCGTAGCTACTATGCAGTTGTACAGGACTTTACTAAGCATCGTCGTAGACAGTATAAGTAGCACGTCGTTTCTTTGTATTAAAAAGCTTTCGCCCGGACTGTGAATCACTCTCATATCAGATTGTTTTGTACAATTTGCGTGCCGCGTGATTCCGCCCTAAGAAGTTCTGCCACCCCTGCCCGGTCGCGACGAGTTGCTCCCTGAGCACTTGTAGCTACTGTGATTTGAGTTTGAGTTGAGAGATCAGAAAGTCGGATTCGCCGCATCTGGTTTAGTCGCGGCGTTTAGTGTCGTCGCCTTCGGGCTTTGTTGAGATCGTTCCACACCTCTAGCTTGGCAGTGCGTCGACTAGTTGTGCTCGGGTTGTTTTGGTTAGTTGGCAGTGCATCGACTTGAGAACTTTGGTTCCACACTTCTTGCTTGGCAGTGCGTCGACAAGTTGTGCTCGGGTTTTGGACATTGGATATTGGCTGTTAGTTGGCAGTGCGTCGACGCGGCATTTTGGTTTACTAGTTGGCAGTGCGTCGACTCAGTACTTTTGGTTGTGTCAGTTGGCAGTGCGTCGACTTGACATTTTGGTTCTACTAGTTGGCAGTGTGTCGACTCAGTATATTGGTTGTATCGGTTGGCAGTGCGTCGACTTGATATTTGGGCTTTGCGTCACTATCTAGACGCTGTCGCTACAAGGGATCTTAATACTTCGTATTAAGCTCTGACTTGTTATATCGTTGGTTGTGGATTGTATTAGTGTTGGTTGTGCTCGTATAGAAGATATTGGTTGAGATACCATTGTTTGCTATATATATATTCTTGTCGTCAACTCCGTCTCCGCGACTATTGGATCTGCGTCTATTGAGAGTTGTGATACTGGTGCTCTGTCCACCCCAAAGCTCTCGCATCTTTCACACACTGAGAAGCTGATTACGAGGAGTGTGAACGTGTTTATATCTGGGTTTACTTTCATAGTAGATTCACTTGTGAGCACGCCCTCAGCATTTCAGCGCAGTGGAGATACGACCAGTAGCAATCACCTATAAGACAGAGTCTCAGCGAGTGTAGAGACACAGGAGCTATATCATTAGCTGTACCTATAAGACAGAGTCTATGGTACAAGTCATAAGTAAGGTCATTAGATCGTAAGGGAGAATGCATACCTCAGCGAGTGTAGAGACACAGGAGCTGAGGATATGGAGCGTATAGTACTAGGTTTATATACCAGTCTGGAGCAGATATCATGATGTCATAGTGGAGTAATGATATCATAGATGAGTAATGGATGACGCAATAATGAGGTCAGGTATGAGGTCATTGTGGAGCGAGCCAAAGTAATCTAAGAATACTACTTATGATGTCATGTCTACATACTGTGATAGTCGCTAATACAAACAAGCTTCAACAGATTGATCAGCCAATCAGATGATGAATACTTAAAGGTCAAACATTGGGTATATTCATTCTTGAGAGACACAGACTACATATATTCTCATGCTGACAGTGGATTAGTGGTCCCAGGACATGCCCCAATGACATATTGCATGCTTGTCTCAGGGACATATGATTAAAAATCGGAGTTGGCAAATGAGCTGAAGGTAGTGGACTGTACCATTGCACATCCATACAAATTTATCACAGTCATGCTGATTGGATTGTCCGAACTGCACATCAGAGAACTCTTGGATTGTCCGAACTGCACATCACAGAACTCTCGCTAGGGCAAATCCAATAACCTGCACCAGGAAGGCGGTGTTTTGGTCGGCTTCATTTTGGTTGTCAGTGTATGCATCTTTACACTGAGAGTCAACAGCTTGTCCTCTTGGTGCCTGGATTGCTTGATGCGTCCACAGCACACAAAAGCGACCAATTTGAGACAGCATCACTTGCAACATGTTGCAGCAGGCATGTTACCAGGGCGTGACAACCCCAATGAACCCCAAAACAGAGTAAGCACAAGCAAGCCTACTCAACTGCTGACAATTGGTGATGCACAGCTCCTAGACAACACTCAAATCTGATTTGACGCAGCTACAATCAGGAAAGAGGGACGTAAGGTGAGGAATGACCAGAAAGGATGCAGGCCACTGATAGAGGCTGGTCTGATACCGTAGAATCAGGCTATGAAACCAGAGTCTGATGAATCAACTCACACCTTGTGCGTGTTTTGCAGACATGCCAAATATAGCCAAAGATGGGACATTGGGCCTCGAGCTGTCAACAATGCTGTAGTAAGCGCAAAACAATACACCTCTGAGCAACCCGTGTGTTGATCTGTTTCCGCCGCATTTGGATTGTGGGCTGCAGGGATTATTGTCTGGACGTTGGCCAATGCACAAAAGCACAAGTTAATGGGGAACAACCTGAGGTTGTGGACAGTGCCAATGGGCAGTAGAGTCACCTCATGTTGATTGCTTTATTGCATCACATCGTCCAGTTGAATTGACATGGTGGTGTCAAAGATACACAGGGCTTGCATCAAGTATAGATCAGGCTGATGACGCGCATTTCTTCAAGCCATCCAAACGAAAACCGTTTCTGAACAACCGGTTTCATTCCAATGGGAACCGCATCTCTCTGAAAAGTGGCGCACCCTAATTCCAAAGTGAAGAAGGACCATCTATCTGATGTCGCTGCGACCCGACCTTTGACACGTACATCTGCCAATGCTCTCGCAGCCTCGGATCCTCCGCCACTAGCCCACGCATCACAATGTCTGGGGTGCTATGGGAGCTGAAACACACCGCCGCCAACTGCCAACCACAGCGGTAACCGCTCGACTGATGTTGTTCCTGACTTCTATGCATATTGTGTGAGCGTCGAGGGCCTGAGACCAGCACGGGATGCGTGACGGACTGGAGAGAGTCTTCGTATGTAGAGCTTGCGTTCTGCACGTCAGTGTGCGCGTTCGACCGATTCCATACACCATTTAGATGCAGCGATGGAGATGCAGCTGAGTTATCCCTGCGGTCATGCAGTAGATGGGCTTTTGCTATGCATTCCGGCCTATACTCCAAAAGTATGATTTGTGCGTTGCCGAGATTTCGGACCTCCTTGTTCGTCTTTCGTGTACGTCCCCAGGCCACATTGGGGTCAGAGTCAAGTGCTGTGAATCAGCAGTGAGATCGATGTCATCAGATCTTCTCAAATTAGATAAGATTCCTTATAATCTTCAGCGAGGCTTCATGCTACTTGAAATGATACAGATGCGACTAAAGCAAACGATCATGCAGTAGCTCGCGCTTTGTTTTGTTGGGATCCATGTAATCAAGCAAATTGAGGCGGGATCAAGGCAAAATGATACTAGACAGTAATTTTGACAAATGATTCAGCTCATTAACAGTAAATTACATGATTTCTGGATTGGGACCGGACCACACCGGACCACACACATATTCCTTCTCTTGACCGGACCCGTCCTTGACCTGCCCCTGGACCCTGGGACCGGTACCGGATTGGACCCCATCAACACTGGTGGCTTCACTCTCTGTCAGTAACAAGCAAGACAAATGCAGCAAAAATGATCTCAGGAAGATTGAGCTGGGGCTGAATCTCTTCGCAGATCCATTTAGCATTGAATGGGTGTATTTGCTGCTCATTGTCCGTCTGCACGGCAAACACAGCTGTGTCCAGGACCTGCAATGCCTCCGGATCCTTGATCCAGCCGACATACTCACTGACGGCCCAGACAAGCACCCAGTGGAGTGTATTGTCATCTGCGAAATTGTCCTTTGGATATTTGTGTAGGAATCCAGAGACAGCGTTGGCGAATCGAAGTTGGATTTCGCTCGGGAGCAATTGTCGAATACGGCTGAGTGCGTGGATCATGTCGAGTGTCTCGAAGTCAAGTTTGCGTTCCGTTTGATCTGATTTCTGAGCGCACTGCTCCAAGAAGGTGGTCACAACACCCACACGTACACAGCTGTGTATCAGGTAATGAGCGTCATGAGTCGATCCCCGCTCCATCCACTTCTCGTTGTCAAAGCCAATTAATGCACGAAACCAGGTCTCGTAGTCGTCGTTGAGGATACTGAGCAATTCCGCCGACTCCAGCAAATCGTCCGATTCCGATAATTGCCCTGATTCTGACAAATCCGGCGAGACACATGCAAGCACGGCATACTGGGTCATGGCAACCAACCGGTGCGTGTGGATGTCTGCCGCTTGAGTGCCAGAATTCCTCAGAGCGCGAAGGACCGAAAGATGGGTATCGAGGTCTGCCGGGTACCTTGCGGGTTCAGCGGCGTTCAGAAAATGGCGATAAATCAGCTGGAGGGAGTAGGCAGATGCCTCGAAATCGCGTGGCCACTTCAAGTGCAGACACAGATAGTAACACAGGAATCGTGTGTAGTTAGACTTCGGACCGGGCTGTGAGTTGGACTCTGGGTCGTAGGCGGTGAGGCAAGGATGTCGAACAAGGAACTGCGAAGGCCACCAGACCCGCAAAGAATAGAACCAGCGCCGCATGCAGAAGAAGGGGCGGAACGCCAACAACAGCATGCATATTGAAACGCTGCAGACCGTGATACAGATACATGTACACGCGCGCGCGGACAGAGGGAGACGAGAACATCGATGTGCGGTGTTGGTACTCCTGCGCCCACTGCTTGACCAGGGTCGCCACCAGGGCGCTCGACAAGCTCAGCGCAAGACTCGTGAACCAAAGTGCGTTGCAGACAAGAGATGAGGTTGGCGGCAAGAAGGCTGTGGCGGGAGGAAGTGCGTCCTGCACCGCTGTACCATTGTTCATGTTTGCAAGCTGTTGCGAGATCTGGCCGAGCAGAGTGACGGTCTGGCTGAGCAGCTCGACGGTCTGGCCGCCCGAATCGGGGTTCAGCGTCTTGTAGCTGTCGATGATGAACGTTGTAACGACGCCGGAAAAGAGACCAGCCTAATGAGTCACATTCAGAGAGAGACTGGGATCGAAAATGGACGGGGACGCACGAAGATCAACAGACCATCCATCTCACTACGCCAGCCATCGATGAGACCTTGATCGTAACTCTGCGCCTCGGAAATGTAGGCGCTCCAGAGCTTGTTCCCGCTGGCCTTCTCGCGCTCGAGACGTGCTTCGTCGGTCACTCGTTTCTTAGCCTGTTGTTCGTCAGATTGTGGCATGGTCAAAGGCAGGAAGGAAACTGCTGTACCTCGCGTTGAGTAGGGTTCCTCCATACACACTGCCTTGCTGGAACAATGCCACGGCTCACAGCAATGAAGCTTCCAACACTTCAGTATTGAATTGAGATTGCTACATAGGCCACAGGCTCAGACAAAACCAAGGTTAGCCGGCGGCGCATGTCAGGGCGTGACAGTCGGCCAGATTATGGACAGACTTCATCAAGCAATAAGTAATAGTTAGACAGTGCCGGTCCCAGGAGGAGCATATTTGTCCATTAGTCGCGCACATATGTCCATTAGTCGCCGCAGAATCTCAGTGACTCGGAGCGGACGGGAGGTCGTGTGAATTGGATGAGACACATAATATCGGGAGGGATGAGACTGCGGCCAGATACACCCGTTGTACTTGGTCGGATGTCTTCCAGGCTTCTCGCAGCTCGCACTGCCATCATGCCTAGTCACGGGTCATCCAGTGCACAGCTCTGATCTTTCTTACCCGTCCAAGATGACTCTCCCCATGATGATGGTGCACGGCGCTCGCACGCTCGACAGCGACATTACTTAGATGGACAGTCGTTCATCCCCACGGATGCAGGGACACTTATTCCCGGAGAGATTCGGTTCACATCAAACTGAAACCGATCGTTCACAAACACCTTTCTTTCGAGTTTCTTGAAAGAAACGCGGGGTGTCAGAACACGTGAGGCTCGTCTTCCCCCCTGTGTGACCGCCTGCCACCATACGAGGAGACAGCGCGTCTGTGCGAGCTGTACTTGGCGCAAGTGCCGTGGATCTCCGGCGCTGTCACGTCCGAAGAAGAGATGCCGCCGCTGTGGCACCCAGGGCATTTCATACGAGGGTCAGTCCACCGCCCATTGGTACCACGCACGACAGTCCCGCTCTACGACTGCTTCAATGTGTTTGCCGTCACCGCGACCAACGGCTCCACCGTTCCCAACCCGGCCGGAGTCCTCGTTGCCATCCAGATCACCTACTCCGACGGAACGATCTCGCAACTCGTGTCAGATGCGACCTGGCGCGGTGCCATCACGTTCATGAGCAAGTACCTGCTTTAGGCTCTCCAGATTCATCTTGTCCCTCACACCTTTCGTTCGACGACAACTCGTGGCGCCCCGTCCTCGTCGAGGCGGGCTACGGCGCCACGCCCTGGGGCACGATCCTGATCCCCTCCGTGCCCCCTGTGCTTACGCTGGCCGGAACCGCCTGGATCTGGACGACGGATGTGTCCGGAGGGATCGCCCCAGCGGGGACCCGCGCGTTCCTCCGCACCTACACGACACCTCCAGGGCAACTGGTCTCGTCCGCGACGGCGATCATCGCCGCGGACAAAGTGCGCACGCTGTACGCCAGAGAGCATCAACCTCGGTTGCGCCGCGTCGCAGGTCGTATTTGCCGTGGTGGCGACAAACATCCTCACCATCCCGAACCCCGCGGACGTCATCTTCGCGGCGGAGATCAACCTCGTCCAGACGGCGTGCAACTGCACCGGCCGAGCCTACCTGGTCGGTGATGGCTCCTGGTTGTGGCCTGGGAACGCGTCGCTTCCGCCGGGTTTCCAGAATCCCGGTTACGACAGCTCGTCCTGGACGGCTGTTACCACGGAAGGTGCCAACGGCGTTGCTCCCTGGGGCACAGTCGCTGTTTCTCCGTCGACGGGGACCATGAATGCTTTTTGAATCGCCATCCTGTAAAGTGGCGCACAAGTTTTTCATCAGGCCGTCGGAAAATATATCAATAGGTCAGGATCATGGTATGTGAATGGGAGACCGTCCCATGGGATGATTCGTCTACTCACTAAGCCGGCACCTGCTGAGGTCGCGGGCCTCCGGAGGGGGCCTTGAAGCCATTTCACATAATAATTGGAGGTCCCTGGGGTGGCTCTGTTGCAGGTGCAGACAGACAATCAGCAGAAATCACACAGGGACTGTGCTGAACAGATCCGTGTACAAATGCAGACGCAACTCCCTCCCGAGAACATTCCTGCTGGTTTGATGGCCTCTGGAGGGGGCCTCGAAGCCATTTTACATAATAATTGGAGGTCCCTGGGGTGGGACACCCCATTCTTGAAGTCAATGATATTGCGGGGAAGGAGCTGCCAAGAATAATGTGGAGTTCTTGGGAACATGGGGCACATAACCTGTGAGTTTCAGGCTGGTATGGGAGAGAGGAAACGCATCAGGGGCTCTCCTCCCGCCTAGGTTGCATGACAATGTGGAATGATCTAATCTTATCTTGACCTGATCACGTGGACCTTCCCTGACAGAATCAGACAGATGATATCCTGCATGAGATTGTTTGAATTTCTCTCTCCTTGAAAGCCAGATGTCCTTCCAGGCTTGACTGCAGATCTTATCAGTGGACATCATGCAAAATCTCATTTGCCAGATTTCAACCTGATCCACGTTCTGTGCTGGCTATCCTTATTTCTACTGTAATGCCATTGCTAGCGGATACCCACAGAACCACTTCGGCATTAAAGAGCCGCCGAATACGTAACTAGGAAGAATGCGTTTGTGCCATTTCGGATTAAGCTTGGTTCTCATTGAAACTTTACATTCAGAATCCATCGAGTCATCATAAAAAGTCTGCGAAAGCCGCATTCCAAACTTGTATCGACCCAGGTTTAAAAGATCACCACTCAAAAGGCATTTACGGTCCCCGTCGACGGAGAAATAGCGACTGTACCCCACGGAGCAACACCGTTGGCACCTTCCGTGGTAACAGCTGTCCAGGACGAGCTGTCGTACCCGGGATTCTGGAAACCCGGCGGAAGCGAACCGTTCCCAGGCCACAGCCAAGAGCCATCACTGACCAGGTAGGCTCCGCCAGTGCAATTGCACGCCGTCTGGACGAGGTTGATCTCCGCCGCGAAGATGACGCCCGCGGGGTTCGGGACAGTGAGGATGTTCGTCGCGACCACGGCGAAGACGACCTGCGATGCGGCACCAAGGTTGATGCTCCAGGTCTGCGCCGTAGTGAAGCTCGTCCCGGAGCCGATCTGGAAGCCGTTCGCGTAGAGCGTGTATTCGTTGTCCGCGGCGATGATCACCGTGGCGGACCCGACAAGTTGCCCTGGGGGTGCCGTGTAGGTGCGGCGGAACGCGCGGGTCCCCGCTGGGGCGATCCCTCCAGACACCTCCGTCGTCCAGATCCAGGCGGCGCCGGCTAGCGTGAGCACTGGGGGCACGGAGGGGACCGGGATCGTGCCCCAGGGCGCGGCGCCGTACCCTGCCTCGACGAGGACGGGGCGCCACGGGTTGTCGTCGAGCGACAGGGACTGGTAGTTGCTCGGGAACGTGATGGCGCCGCGCCAGGTCGCATCTGACACCAGCTGCGAGGTCGTTCCGTCGGAGTAGGTGATCTGGATGGCAACGAGGAGCCCAGCCGGATTGGGAACGGTGGCGCCATTGGTCGCGGTGACGGCAAACACATTCAAGCAGTCGTAGAGTGGGACGCAGAACCGCGCGGCATAGCGAAAGTCGCCGCTCGATCCAACGAGGTCGTTGTTTACATATAAGCTGAACGAGTTGTCGGCCGTGATGATGATGTCTGCCTCCAGCGGCGTCTTGCCAGCGGGCGCAACAAAGTCTTTGCGGAACGCACGGGAGCCAACGGGAGCCACGCCGCCTGAAACATCGGTTGTCCAGATCCACTGCGAGGCAGAGAAATCGAGAGCCTGGACTCCGATCCAGGTGGTGAGTGCGAGGAGGATAGCTGCGTTGGAGTCAGAAACCATATGCATCGAGTGGAATCGACCTGAGACTTACTCTGGAAAACGAGCATTGTCGAGGTGGACTGGTGGTCGTAGACTCCGCGATCCAGAGCTTTAATACGGCTGCCGGTTTCCAAAAGCAAAGGCGCGGCGACCTCAGATAGCTTGGTCGACATGATGTATGGCGCCCGAGATCATCGCTTTGGGTATTCGTGTCAATTGAGAAGACGCAGCTTTGCACAAGCTGCCCGCTTTCGACATGAGGCACGGCGCCGAGAAGCCTGAGTAGCGTAAAGGTAGCCCTCGGGACTGAACCGGCGTTGAGAAAACATTCAAGGCAGTGACCACGAGAACATCATGGACATGATGCACGGTAGACAGTCTTTGCGGAGAGGATTCGAATGAGTGTTTTGCATTCCTACCGGTCTTCTTTCGGAGAGTAAAAGTCCCGGTCAGCACCTGACTGTGTAAGGTGTGCCGCATTAGGAACCAGCATCCCTTAGTAAGCAGCACGTGATAGTCACGTGATGCTCAAATCCACAGTCCGAAAAATGTAGCTCTCTTTTTTGGTATAAATATGGACTTTTATACAACCAATGTGATCCAAAATTGGCGTCCGAAGGATAATTGAGCTTTTATACGGCTACTATGACTACAGAAGGGCTTCACGAGGCCGACAGCACTGCCACTTCCTAATTAGGAAGTCACGTGAATGCTCAAATCTTACGACCCAAAATTTAAAAAATGCTCAGTTCAGTGACAAATCACTTTCTACTATAAAAGAAAACTTTTGATGCAAAATTCTTGAGCCTCACATCACGCTCTCCAGGAGGCATAATAAAAAATTCTGCTCAGATAGCAGGTGCCCTAGAGGCCTCTAGAAATACCCCATGTGAGTGCTTTAGCTATATTTCCTCCATGGCCACCGTCATCTTCCGTCGCTGTGTGTCACGGTGTGACGCTTAGTCATGAGGTGCTGGTTCCTAATGCGGCACACCTTAAGGGGCCGCAGGTGATTGACATTTTTGTTGACAGTTGAGCAGAAGACTGAAACGCCTTATATAAGCATATGCTCATCATCATCATCATTGCCGATCCTTTGAACCTTTCTCCTCTGGCTCGTGCGCTTCAAGACACGCGTTCGACTCGAGCACTAGAGTCTGGTCGTATGATTATCTGGAGCGGTGACGATGTCCCGGCCATGCAAACATTATTTTACGCGGCAGTATCACAATCGTCTTGCAGTCTCCCATAAACAGAGTCCACT